CTTTGCCCAGTCAACTGACGTGAGAGATGCACATCAAAGAGTGCTTGCACACCATATAGAGGCAGGTCCCGCTTCCACTGGCCTCAATACTTCTAAGGACAATTTGTTTCACGCGACGAAACAAACAAATCGGCTGAAATCCTGACCTGTGTCAGAAATGACCATGACAAGTGTAAGTTTGGCAATGTTTCTGACGATATCGGGAGGAGGTCGACTACGGCGTTGCTGCCCTTCACCAGCAGGGAAAGAGCGATTGTGATTTCATTGCTGGGAGCATTGCAATCGTCCCCTAGTGCATGTGAGCTATCTCCAGCTTACCCGTTGAAATGGCATTGAACTCGGTGGTTTTATATTGCTCCAAACTCTTCCAATTTCTGCCCGGTCGACTCAGGTCTTAGGTGCCCCTCAAAGCGACTTCCTTTGGCAAGTGAACCGGCCCGTTTGCCCCAAAAGCCTCGAGCAAACGGGGTTGACCCAAAATTGAGCTTCCTTCAGCCATGGCAGTTTCCATACTGTTGTTCTGTTTGTTTGGTGTGATCGCTTTGTTTTGTTTGGCAAGCTTTGCGATCGCCAGGTTGCGACTGAGATTCCCATTTCCTTTGGTTCGGATTCAGGACGGGGCAGCCGCTGGGAGCGACGGAGAGAAGTCGTCTGTGTGCGTTTTGCTCTTTTTTTTTTTGGCGGGGGCCCTCTTTACCTGGGTTTAAAGGAAGCCCATAGGAAGCCCAAGCGCAAGAACCACCTTCTTTTGCTTTCTTTTGTTTTGGCAGGGGGGGGAGGACGGTGGCCCCCCCTATTTTGCACATTCTGTGCCATGGCAAGGCACCGTCTTTCCGGCAAACACCTGCAAACTGGCGGGAAACGAGTGGTTTCTGAGAATTTTGATGATTCAAGAAAAATGGCGAATCAAGTCCTAGACTTTCCAACATGTGTTTGCTCCAACCCTATAAATGAACAAAAGAACAGGGTGAAAACTGGGTTTGGCCTCCTTTGATTTCCCTCCACCGTGTCAATGTTCTCCTTTTTGCTCCAGGGTGTCTGGATTAGCTGCGCGTGAGTGTACTTTGGGCTGGTAGGGATGGTTGGACCCATTCGTTTGGACAACCATTGATGATTCCTAGTTTGGTCACCATAGCCACGACCCAGGTGAATCGGCTTTGACAAAAGGGCGGGCTACCCAAGTTGCTCAGTTGGTAAGTATTCCCACTGCTCTTGAGCCTGCCGATTGCCTGGAGTTTGCATGGGGTCACCCTCCCAACGTGGAACCTGACAGTGTGTCCCTTGAACAGAAACATCAATTCTCGCTCCCTGAGTTCATTTACTTTAATTTTTGTCTGATCATTTTAGCGGTATATACATATACTTGGTGGCTCCCAGCCATCCCCGTCGCTTTTTAGACTTTCAGTGTTTAGTGGGGGGTTTCCATTGGACCCACCAAAAGTTAAACTTTTAGCAGGGGATCAGAGGGCAGCCCAGTATAAAGGTTGGTGTTTTTTGGGCCAATCCGCTCGTTCGGAAGTGAGAAAGATCAGTGGACCTTCCTCGGATGTGCGTCAGTGCCCAACTTTCCTGCAGGGGGCCAGAACGGGGATTGAGAGACGGGAGTTTTGGCCGCAGAGAGGAGCGACAAGTAGGAAATCCGCGTATGAAGTAATTGTCTTGTGCTTGATCTGCGGTAAAAGCCAACCCTTGTAATGTTGCTTTGCATCATGAGATTCAGCAAAGCAGGTATCCTGTTCCGCTTGAACCTTGCATTGGATCACAACAATCGCGTACCACTGGCACCATATCAGATGAGATGTGTTCGAGGCTTCTGACATTTCCAATCGGTTCTTCGCTTCCAACCATTGTCAGAGACGGGGCACTCTCGATCGGAAGGACGCTCTTCTCGTGTCACCAGGCTTGAGGGTGTGGGGGGGGGAGGCGTTCATGCGTGCAGATGTCCGCAGCTTCAGCTCGCTTGCATGCCAGTAGCTTGTTCAGCACCTGGACCCATTGAAATTTGAGGTTTGGGCTCTCCGTATAGGTTTATTAGGGATGGACCCAACCCCAGCCTTCTGCATTGGTGGCTTTTGCCATTCCTTTTGGGTATCCTTCATGGCGTGCTATGGGTTTTTAGTGTCGCAATTGTCAGTATCATCGCTTGGAGTTTCCTCGTCACCGCTCCGGAGGCCCGATGATAAGTTCGCTGTCAGCGAAGCAAACATGATGAGCAAACCGTTTTGAGGAGAGTTTTGTGTCTGGGGTAGACTTAGGATACATTTTACATGCTACCAGTGACTCCAGGTGAAGCAAACAATTAAATATACATTCTATAGTTGGGTCTAACTCTAATCATGGTGTTGACAAAGCGGCCAAGAGCCAGTTGTTCCATGGCTTTCAATAGTTGATTCGCTCGCTGTCAGGAACCCACTATTTGCCAGGAACTCACTCCCTTCTCGCAACTAGGCAGATTTTGTTTTGGCACATATCTCCTTTCCCACCCCGCTAAAACAAAAAAGCAAAACACATGCACACACGCACTTTGACATGCTCACTTTCACCACAGGGTTTCTTCCCGTGGCTGTCATGTTCGGAAGCCGGGAAGCCGAAGCCGCGCGCCAGGAAACGGCGGTCCCACACTGTCACCTTTGCTCCCTCCAGCCGCACTAAGCGCGGGCCCGAGACTTTGGATCCAGCGGTGGGGGGGGGGGGGGGCGGGGCGGGGGCGCGGGGGAAACTGCGTTCGCTGGTGCGTGCATGCGTTTTTGTTTGTTTTGTTTTGAGTTCAGGGTGGTCCATCCGAAGGGTGAGTGGGACAGGGCGTGGACAGATGGCTACAACCTCCAGGGGTGGCCCATAGCCCCCTCCCGGACGCTTAGCCAACATGGCGGTGGGTATGTTTTTGTTGGGAATGCCTTTGCAGCCGGATTCGTGAGCAACATGAGTCGTTTTTGTTGGCGTCCCCGGCAAGATGTCGTGAGCCGTGCGGCGTCAATCTTGCGTCTTTGCATCTCGCAGGATTTTGGAGAGCCTTCACGCACAGGAGCGGGGGGCCTTTAGCCAAAACGGGCTTGCCTTGTCAGCTGGCATAGCACGGACCCATGACATGTTCAGGTGTTTGTGTTTGTGTGTCTGTGTCTGTGTCTGTGTCTGTGTCTGTGTTTGTGTCTGTGTCTGTGTCCGTGTCGGTGTCGGTGTCTGTGTCTGTGTCTGTGTCTGTGTCTGTGTCTGTGTCTGTGTCTGTGTCTGTGTCCGTGTCTGTGTCCGTGTCCGTGTCCGTGTCCGTGTCCGTGCCCGTGTCCGTGTCCGTGTCCGTGTCTGTGTCTGTGTCTGTGTCCGTGTCGGTGTCGGTGTCGGTGTCGGTGTCTGTGTCTGTGTCTGTGTCCGTGTCCGTGTCCGTGTCCGTGTCCGTGTCCGTGTCCGTGTCCGTGTCTGTGTCTGTGTCTGTGTCTGTGTCTGTGTCTGTGTCTGTGTCTGTGTCTGTGTCTGTGTCCGTGTCCGTGTCCGTGTCCGTGTCTGTGTCTGTGTCCGTGTCCGTGTCCGTGTCTGTGTCCGTGTCTGTGTCTGTGTCTGTGTCTGTGTCTGTGTCTGTGTCTGTGTCTGTGTCTGTGTCTGTGTCTGTGTGTGTGTGTGTGTGTTTGTGACATTGGCATTGGTCATTTCAGTATCATCGGGATACCATGGTGTCCCTTTTGTCTTGCTGATTGCTTTACGGACTCGCGTTGGCCCATGCAAGTGTTGCGACAGCTTACTTTGTTTATAGATGTGTAAATGCTGGACGAACAATTGTGCGCACCCTTTGGAGATCGGCTCGAGCATGCCTTGCAGAACTCGAATCTCGAAGGCACTTTATACTGTTTTGGATGCACTGCGTTCCTGGACAGCGTTTAGTTTTTTTGCTGACTTGTAGCTCGGGCTGAAGGGGACATATGTTTAACACCAATGGATGGGACGATACCTCTTCCCAAGAGCTGGCGCGGCTAGGGGCATCCCTTAAGCCTAACTTAAGCCCATCCAAGGACAAGACCCTACGGCCTTATCTGTTTTTCTTTGGATCGCCCCCCGTTTGGCCTGGACGTTCACTGGGGCAAAGCGATCAGGACATCGACGGCTCCACACGCAGTGCAGGCGATTGGCGCTTTTTGGGGGGCGCCCCTTGGGCGTCGATTTGGCTCGTTTCCTCTACCCCCCGATGGAAGCTCCACGGATGGAACTGATTCGGGGCCTGGTACGACTGTGGTTTCGGGCTTGGTAGGTTTGCTTCACAAACATGCGGATGGTTGCGAAATCCACTTCGCACCACCTCAGAGACCCTGGACGGATTCGATTCCCCCTGTAAATACCCACAAAGAATTCGGTTTCCCATGGTTTCCACTTGGTGGGAACGGATTTGGTCCATCCACATGGTCCGGCTTTTGGGGGAGGGCCCCGGGCAAGGCCCCCAATCGCGGGGTTATGGTTCCTTGAAGTTGGGTTGGGCAGGTAACCCCTGCCCCTGCCCTGCAAATTAACATGGAGCCCCAAGAAGTGCACCCCGAAAAGGAGATTCCTCCAGAGCTCATTGCTTTTGGGTTCCATTGTGGGGAGTAATTGGACGTGTGGATTGGTGGGTTGGGGATTTGAACCCGTTGTTGTGGGTTAATGGGAAGCCTCCCTTTGTCTATGACATGCTGAAAGGGACACCTTTTCTTGCCGCCGTGTTGCGTTGTCTTTAAGTGGGAGCCAGGCAGCGTGTGACACTCGGAGAATAGATTGTGTGCACATCACGAGTTTATTTACATGTGCCTATATCAGTGTCAACCGCTTTCGCTTCCCTCTCAAAACACACCTCCCTAATGTGTCCCGTCAGGTTGGTGTGAAGCTCTCGCGGGCCAATGTAAAGTACATGTCCTTTGATTGTGGTGATGCTTCAGGGGCAACAATCAAGCGCGCCCTCTCGAAACAGGCTCTGAAAAGGCGGGCGCTCTCTCGAAACGGGTGGGGCTTCCCTTCCGCCAGGCAATCGCCGGCGCCCGCGGATGCCGAAAGAGGCCAGGGAGAAGTCGGTTCAGAGCATTTTTTTGCGATCCCCTATGTTTGTTTCAGTATGTGGGCAGATTGTTTCTGCCTGGCATTCTCATCACGAATGGGATTGTCAGGTGCCTTATGTGTGCAAAGACTTGGCCTTGGAGCAATTGGCGCCTGGGAACGCACGCGCTGACCGCTCCAGCCTGGTTTTCTCTCCGCAAGGCGCTTGCTTCAAAGCGCGTTCGGTTGTTCTGGGTTGGCAGCGCTGAACTGAGGAAGGGTGGCTGCAATGCAACAAGCCAGCTTTGCCCGCAAGCAACCCGCCAAGCAAGATTAGGCCCGATGCGTTGCTCAAAGTAAGCACAAGTTCCGCGAGTCGGGCTGGATGCCCGAAGGAAGGGGCAATCTTTGATTTGCGCTCAGGGGAGGTTGGCTTTGGGCGCAAAACCTCTGGCTATTGCGTGTGTGCCTGCTTATTTGAAACGCTGATTTGCCCTGTTCATCCTGGGGCAAGGTCGACAAGCCTATGGCGCAGGTGGCTGTGACTACAAGTCCAGAACTGGAGCGAAGCGGTCCCGGTTCAGAGGCTTAAATTCCAAGGTTTGCAGAAGCGGTTTGCAATGGATGTTTTGGCCCAGATGACAGAAAACCATCCAAACAGGAGGAGGATTAACACCCGAAGCAAGTCTTTTTATGAGCCCCCCTTTCCCTGAATTCGATGTTTTCCCTATTGGTGTCCATTTTAGACACAACCCAAACAAGTACCCTGAAAACAGACGCCTCCAAATCAGCAAAGAGGTAAGACTTGTCTTTCTTGGGGGCTTGATTTAGCAGGGCTCCTTAAAAGATACATTTTGCCCATTTGAAACATGGCTTTTCCCGGGAAAATGAAGGAACACCACCATTTACAAGGCAATGTTCAGGTGTTTCCATTGTAAGGATCCCTGTTTAGCTTCGGAGACTCTTCGGCCTTCGGCCTTCCCTCATTGACAGGCCCTGGACACAGAGGCTGGGTCGGGCCTGGGCCGTCGGGGTGACACACGCTGCATCCACGGTGAAGGTAAAATTGCTCGGCCAGCCGGTGCTTGGAAGGGGTGCACATGGGGGAGGGGGTGGGGGGGGGGTATCCAAGTTTGCCCTTGTAGAGAGAGCTAAGCTACTAGGAGTTCTTCACTTGGGGCTTGGGGCTTGGTTTGTAGACTATTTTAATATCTAAGTATTTGGCCTAAGCTGTGGCGGCGAATTGTTGTTCCACGCCTAGAGACCAGGGACTCCCAGCCCGCAAGGTGTGAAGGCCAGTGGCCCGCTGGCCGAATCCGTGGCTTTTCATTCGGGAGATGTGAAGTCAGGTCGCTGCAGGTGCTTGGTACCATGTTCCAGCCCCATGTTGTGCGCTTCGTTCGCTGTCTACACGACATGTCCGCGGGCCAACAAAGGTAACAACAAGGGCGGTGTTCCCCATGTTTTTAGCAAACACACAGGGGCCTATTGATGATTATTGTCGCGAGGGAACCAAGTCAGATGCAAACTGCAGTTGGTTGCTCTTACAGGGCATGAGGTATCTCGTTTGTCAGAGCGACGGAAGGCCATACAGGAAGGATGATTTATAGACCCATCTTTGGTCTTTGAATCTCTTCAGTACAGGCCGGGTTGAGTCAAATGGGCCAACCATGGAACGCCTTCAATGGCTCCGTGGGATCTTGTCAATCCAGTAAACTGTTGAAGTGGGCTCGGTCCCATTTTGTGCCCATCTTCGTAAGATGTTTGGTCCTTTGGTCCCATCTTGGTCCTTTGTCCCACAGCTTTGTCCCATCTTCGATCCCCGCCCAATCCTGCCTTTTAGTCCTTATGTGTTTGTCTGCGATGGGTTGTAAACCCAAAGTATGAATTCCTGGCAAAGGAAACGAAGAGGACATTCCTCGCACTAAGTACTAGTTAGATGGAAAGGGGAGAGCCTCCCATTTCGCGTGTGTCGCCAGGAGAGTGGTGCAAGCGAGATTGGAACCGAAGGCGACGTGCGCAAGCTGGGGTCCCCGCGATTTTGAGGTTGCGAGCCCTTGAGGGGGAGAACTCCGAAGTGCCCTGTGGGGGTCTGGGAATGTAAGGAGCTGAAGAAGTAATCATAGTTTGCTGCCAGAATCTTGACTAAATTTGGTTGTAATTACCCCACAACCCAATTCTATGTGTTTACATTTATTCAGGCTCTAAACAAACCTGGGTTGGGCGATTCAACCCCTTGTTGGAACGATGGTTGAAGACACTATTGTTCGAACACGCCCCTATTGGTTTCCTTTTGCATCAATCAGACCAAGGGTTGCTTGTTTGATCAAAATGGTGTGTACCCGCTTGTGTGCTTTTGGGATTTGTGTGTGTGTGTGTGCATGTTTGGGAGGGGGACAGTTTGGGGGTCGGCCGATTTTGACACACAACACACAGAGACAGACAGAGAAGCAGTCGCACATCTTTGAATATGAGTGTTTGCGAAAATTCCGACCCCCAAAACTGGTTGTTGTTCTTTCGGTTTGCTTTGGAAGCATGCAATTGCAGGCGTGCCTTTGGCACCATGATTTTGGCATCACCCCTCCCCCCCCAAGTGGTTGGAGGGACATCAACCTGGCTTTGCGGTTTCCTAGAAGGTAAGCCACCGATTGGTCATGAGGAACCCAGCCAAGTCCTCTTGTTTAGCACACGGATGCACTTTTCGCAGGAGTTCAGCAGAACAGCACAAAAGTCATCTAAGACATCTAGGTCCCCCATCAGTGCCCTTTTACCCTTTTGTGGGGGAGGGTTCCCCTACTAAAATAGACTACAGGAAAAGGGTACCCTTGTTCCAACCTGTCTATTGGAGGATCTACACATGTTTACATCACGTGCCAGAGTCAGAATGGGCGCCTTGTGGAGAAACAGACGCAGCGTCACCAACTCGATGTTGGGCGAGGCCATCCCTGAGGGAATCTTTTTTTAAAATCGGGCGAAGACCAAACTCAGCAATCCGCGTGACAGGAGAAGGTGTCGTTCCTTTCCAGGATTCCAAAATCCGAAGGTGCCGGTTGGTCAATGGCCGACTTTCGCTTGGCCACTGGGGGTTCTATCGACAACCTCTTTCCTCCCGCAAAAGCCAAGTTAGGGGTGTGTGTCAAATCCAGGGACCCCAAAGCTTGGTGGTTGTCCTGTTGGCTCCCTGTTGAAAACATCCCAAAAGAGGGTACCCTCAAAAACAAACACAGAGAAAGAAAGAGAGAGTTGGTTTTCTCTTGGAGCAAAGCCCAAAAAAGGGTAGTCTTCCTCCCACAAAAAGATGACCATACCCTTTCCCTTTGAAAAGCCAACTTTATAGGGGCTCAATATTACCATATAGTTTATCCCCAATATCATGACTAACTTGGGTTCAAAAGTGCCCCATCACCCTATTCTACTTATTCAGACCATCAGTCTTTTCCATTTCAGCAGAACCTTTCGGGGAACATCGCCAACCTGAGACCCTTCCGGAAAAAAAAGGAGGCCGCCAACCCCCCTCACATATTTTTCTTTAGAACAGAAAAAATAGAAGACAACCAAACGGAAACGAAAATGGCGCGCCCAATCGCAAGAGATCGCCACCTCCGGGCATCACAATCCGAAGGGATCTTCCGTCCGAGGCTCTGCCAGTCCGCCAACTCCTCGCCCAGCACTTTGCTCACCTGCAGGCGGGGGGGGAGGGGGTCGCAAGATGCCCCACGTGGCCTGTGGTCCAAAAGTAACCCCTCTGTCAACCGGCCCGAAAAGAACGGGGAACCACAACACAAGCCCAAAAAGTTGTCCGGGTTGGGAGTTTGAGCAATTCGCCTTGATGATTGCCATACTTGCCCGGGTCGACATGGACCCGGAATGGCCAGTACTCGTAGTTGTTCAGGAATCTTTTTGGGAGACCCGTTTTTGGGTTCCGTCTGAAGTTGCAGGGGCGTACCTTACCCTTTCAACGTGTTGCCTGCTTAGCGTTCCTTCGGTTTTGCTTTCAACCAGCACCAAGTGTTTTGTTTGCAGCATAATGAGTCTGACCCAAACTATTCAGGTCTTGTTCCAGTCTCATCTTAGACTCTAACAATGGATCCGCGTCCAGAAGTTCATGTCTCGGCGAAGTGCGAAGTTGTGAAGTGTTTGCTTGTTAACGTATCCTGGAGTTGAGCCTTAGCCCATGCTAGTAAGACAGTTTCTGCCAGTTGCGACTTTAGGAGTTTCCAACCTTCTTTGGTTTTTGGGGATTCCTGTTGAGCAAAGTGAAGTATGCCCCTATGTGCCACGGTCGTTAGGGATGGTCCTGACTCGGGCAAATATGCAACTTCTGGTCAAAAGATCTCACGGTTCACCTGATTGAGCTGGGAGGTTCCCTTTCCAATTCGGAGAAAAACACATGGGGGTTGATCAAAAGGTCCTTGCAAGGAGTTATGTATTCGGTGACCATTCATCTTGGCTTAAATTCCTCCGCGAAAGATCGGCGATGGAGTTCGCGAAAGAAACTTATTTTGTCGCGAAAGATTCCGCGTTGGATTCTTGCCTGTGCACTTACATATTTGCAGACCCCGCTCCCTTGTAGATAGGGAGATACGCAGCACCTACACTTGCAGTATTGATTTCCTGCCTGTGTTGGGAATGGTGCAAATCAATAAGGTTGGCTGGGCTATTTTGGGGCAAGTTTCGCGAAAGATCCGCGAAAGATCGGCGAAAGGCCAGGGAGCTTGTTGCAAGGTTCCGCGCATCGCCGGCAAGCGCAAGTGGCAAGGGCGAATGACGGTGACTGCTCGCACTTAACACTACGTACCGCGCGCAAGTGAACTGCGGCCACCGTGTTTGCAAGCAGAACTGCAGCAGTCACAATGGCTCCAGAGCGCACGCTGCAAACAAAAGGGCGTGGCGATGGAGTCGCGAAAGAAACTTTTTTCTCGCGAAGATGGCGTTTTCCGGAAACAGGAATATTGATCAACTGCCACATATTGCATCTCGATTCTGAACTTCTATTTGCTTCAGATGTGTTTTCTCCCTCTGTTGGTTTTGAAGCGAATCTATCACTACTGTTTTGATGTGTATATAGGTATGTATATGTATATGAGCATATATATATATATATCTATATTGCACGGGATTTAAGCCAATGGAGGTGAACCTTTGGGTGACTTCGGGTGGTTGGCCAGGCACGGCTGTTGCCAAGCGTCGCGCCCAAACGGGGCGGCCACCACGGACAGGCCGGAAAACTGGTTCCTTTGGTGATGCTTGGTGGCTCCCAGCCATCCGGTTCCTTAGCTTTTTAAACTTTTAGTGTTTAGTGGGGGTTTCCATTTGACCCACTAAAGGTTAAACTTCTCGCAGGGGATCTGAGAGCAGCCCAGGATGCAGTGGATGGGATGGGATGGGATGGGATGGGATGGGACACTTCGGGCAATTTAGCTTTGTTTTTTGTTGGGGTGCCCCATCTTTCTGGTGTTTTTACATGGAACCCAGCAGGAACGCCGAAACCATTTTCTTTGGGGGGGTCCCCGAAAAAAAGAGACCCATGTATTCCCATGTTACGCCTTTGGCAATTCGGAGCTCAGAAGTCCATGTTCCACCCGTGTCGGGCGGGCTCCGATGAACCATCAGAATGAACGACTCACTAGCGGAGGTGTCCGCACCCCAGCAGAGAAAGAGGGACTTGGGGCATCTTGGGTGCTGTAGATCCCCCAGCAAAACGTGAATCACTTCTTGCTGGGAATCCAAAAAGTTACAGTCTAAAGATCCAACCCAATAGCAGTCGAGACATGGGGAAGGAGTTGGGAGCAGGGCCAACTGCGTTGGTTGATGTGTGGATGCCCTCGTTAGCCGATCAGAGAGACGTGCCTGCAGAGCCCAAGTAAGAGCTTGGACAATGTACAATGCATAACATGTTTATGACATTGATCAACTTGTATTGATGAGCTTGATCTGTTTGTGCGTGATATTCTACTCATGTTGGATTTGGCAAAGCGGTCAGTGGGTGCGTTTGGCATCCACCGTAGATACTCATGATATACAGCATGCAACTGTGCCACAAATGGCCAACTTCTTTGCTTGCCAGTGTGCGTATATTGCAAGGCAAGTTTCAGGTTCTCGCGTCCCACTCACCCAACTAACCACTGATAGTGTCAATACATGCCCGCCCTGGACTATCGATTTGGGAACAGGCCCTTGCTGCATGTTGTGATATGGGTATGTTGTTTCAATACCAACTACCTAGCGACTACTAAGTCATTACTTTTCCTTGGTCCACTTGCTGGGTGGGAGCTGCAGGTTCCGTTTTGATGGGTTCGTACATGGTTCGGGCTCCGGCATCCAGCATTGCTGGGTGTCTGCTGTGTGTGAAATCGGGTCTCGGACTTGGCTTCACAACCTGGAACTAAATCCTCACTTCCTGAGTCGGACTTCAACAACTGTTTTTGGGTTGGACCATTTTAGTGATTCAGACACAAAGTTCCGACGTGTTTTTGGCCCATCCACTCATGTCATGTGAGAATGTGAAACATCAGGACATGAAATCATTTCGGCGATTTCACCTTTCCCGCCGAAAGGCGCGAGTTACTCGCTGGCCCCGCCTGGCAGGCTCTTTCACATGATCCGCCGAGCTGCTGGGCCGGCACCAGCAAAAGTTCATGTTTATATGGCTTGTTCAGATTCCATTTTCTGGTAATCCAGGCTCCGAATTTTGGCGCTTTTGGGTCGCAAAGAGATCATGTCCGCAATTGAGCAGGCTGTATTGGAGTTTTGTTTGCATTGTCCAGCGGGTGTAAGAGCTTCTGCTTAGGACTTGGGGCACTTGTTTGGACTGTTTCCGAGGCTTCTGACGGAACACAGAGGTCTATGGTAGACTTTTCGAAGGGTAAAGATACCCAAGCTTACCAAGTGGACGGCCATAGGCGTCTATTTCCTCATCAGAAGCGGTTGTTGGTGGAATCGATTGGTCCAACATCCTGTCTGGCACGATGGTGTTGAGGAGTCGTCACCAACAGGGTGAGATGCAAAGGTTATTATTGCATACATGTATAGACACGCATGTAAACAAGTACACAATGTGCATCTGGCATGCTGTCTGCTTAGAATAAGTCTGCCAAGCTTCAAAAGGTCCAGCAGCTCTTCTGTGGAACACAAGCCAGTGGTGCGACTGTGCAATTCTTCGGCATTGTTTAATTCGGACCCTAGTGGTTGGGATGACATGATTCTCTTAGTCTCATGACTTTGTTTGAAAGTCGTCCGCCACCCCGTTCCAATGATTTAGGCCCTTTGGTACGCCAAGGAAATTACCCCTCCGCCTGCTCTAGTGGCGTAGGCATGTTGTTCGTCTCAGGAGCCACACTCTGGTAGCTTGGCATGCTTTGGGGATGACTTCGGGGGTCTTATGACCATCTTGCTATTGGTATTTCAAAGGAATGAAAACAGAAACCCCGATTTTAGCGGGAAGCTAGTCTGAGACATCGGGTTCGGGGTTCAACAAGAGTGATTTGAAGATGACTATAGCCATGAACCCCAAGCAAAGGACTCGGCTTCTCTTGTGGCAAAGATCTGATGGCCAAAGTCGGCCCGGCATCGGGTGTCCCGAAATCAAAGCCGCCTTCGGAACTTCGAGTAGTCGCTTTCCTTTCTCTCTTCTTCGTCTAGAGGTCACTTTTGCTTGAACTTCCGTTCGCTGGTGCTGGGATTGCTCCCAGGCTTCACATCAAACACGACAAACCGCCGGGGAAAGCTTCAGAAAACGCATGGCCGGGCGAATTCTGCCAAGGAGCGCCACACCCAGAAGCGTTTGCTGACCTTCCTGGCGGAGCATCACTTCACAGGCACCGCTTGGAGTGGCGATGGAGCCTCTATTCGCTGAGAACCCGCCGGTGGATTAGCTGAGAACCATGGCAAGGGATACATGCTTCTTGGGGGAAATAAAAGAAGGGTTGAACAAGACCGGTTTGGATGGTTCAAAAACAAGTTCTGTTGGTTGCATCTTGAGGCGTTCTCACAACAACTGTTTAGGACCCGGTGGCTTCCCTTTGTTCTACTGGTTGATTCCCCGTTTAACAAACCCGCTGTTTCCCCTGGGTTTTTGATGGTTTCCTGAACAGAAGGATCCCTGGAAAGAATGGGGAAGGTAGCCCTAGATTTGTGGTAGCGAGGATGCCACTGTAATGCCAACAGCCCAGACACCCAGCGGGAAAACCCGTTTCCCTTTCGGGGAGGAGGGGTGTCCAGGGAATGTTACCGCACAAAGTGCATTTGTTTTTCTCCCAGGGACCACTGGTTTGGGACAATCATTGGGAAGTGGACGCAACCAGATTGCAAATTGCCCTATGCAATCACTAGGTCCGCCAGTGCCCTTTTCTTTTTTGGGGAGGGTTCCTCTGCTAAAATAGACTACAGAAAAAAGGGTACCCTTATTCTAACCTAACCTCTCTACTGAAAAACCTAGCCTATGATTGTTGGAGCGAGGGGAGGAGTGCGACCGCCAAAAAATGGAGCAAAAAGCGGTGTCTCTTTGTGCAGGTGTAGAGCTTCTGGAGGTCTAACTGGCCTTCAGAGTGGCAATCAATTGGGTATGAGCTTGAGTAAGGGACCCGAAAAGTGGTTGGTGGACACAAATTCCCAAATGTCCACCAAAGGGTCTTCCATTCAAATTCACACCTAATTGAGACATGGTTCAACTTTGAATATTAGCTTGGCACTCGGGACTGGCCGCACTTGCACAGCGTTTGCTTTTAGTTGTTTTGCGGAGGCTCCCTTTCGGAGGCGTTTGTTGACTTTTAGGAGGGTAGCCCACCCACCCCAAGCTCCTTGTGTGGTGATGTTGTCCAAGTTTCGCTGGCCTTTGCTAGGCTTTGCTCCCAACTTGCGGGTATGTGTTGAAATCAGGAGTTTAGCAGGAAAAGGGAAGCCAAACAGTTTTGCTGGTCTATTGGGATTGGGATTTGGAAAGTGAACGTCCGCTTTGCACATATCGCAGGATCCCACCCTGCCCCTAGTAAGGCCTGGTATAACAAGTTGCTTTGCTGGAGGAAACCAGTGGGAGTGGGTCCGTGGAGGGCTTGGAATCCAATGTTCTAGGTAATAGCGGTGTGCCTATTTGCATGAGCCCTACCACATCAACATGCGTCCAGATATGTCCAGATTCAAGGCGTTGAAAGGGTTCAGGTGGCAGCCTGTCGGTGGCAGCTCGTCACTTTCTTGACCCCTTCCAGGCGTCAACAACCCGCGCAGCACTGTGCTAGGCGGGGCGGCGGGGTGCGGACAAAAAAGGCCCTGAAAGCCCATGGCGGCCCAGATGGTCGCAGCCAGTTGCGGAAAATGGGGCAAGGCCATGTTTGGCTATGGAATCCCATGGGCCACGCTTCAAACTCATGGGCCGAAGAATCAATCCCCCACTTTGGGTTTCGCAAGGGTCCCGTTTTTGCGGCAAAGGGAGAAAGCTCAAAAGGACTGGCAAACTACCCGGACACAACCGCGGGAAAAAATCCGAAACAGATGCTACCATTCTTTCCAACAGTCGAAATGGATTCTGGGTTTTAACTACATGCCAAGCTCTTGAAATGGCTTCTTGTCCGCTTCCATTGTCGGAAAATGGGTACCTTCGTGTAGCAGGGATTGTTGCACGTTTCGCTCATTACCAACGCTGCTGAGCCCCTTATATCAGTTGTCCAAAGCTGACGGTTCAACTTGTGTTTCTTTTGTGGGTTCATCCATGTCCATGCTCGGTCCGAAAAGGTCAGCAATAGAGTGACATTCTTTGTCAAACATATCTGGGCAGGACAAAGTCATGGGCTCCTCCATATGACGCTGCGGTACGTTTTGGGCGCGTGCTTTAAGCAGTGTGGCACCATGACATGAGGTGGAGAGGTTTCAGTTACTTGCAGGGAGTGGCACGCAAGAAGGCACTTTTGAATACCCCTTGCATGGCCGCAACAGCGGACCACGCGTCCAAAGAAGTTGAGGGGTGCCTGTGACAACATGTGGCCGAGGCAAGCTCCTTCAAGGAACTTACATCTTAACTTCAGTATCCCGGTTCAGGCCGATGTTCTCACACTTATGCGCCCATCTTCTATGAGTCCATTACTCGGAGACGTTTTTTTCGGGACGTCCCAGTTTCACGACACACCTCAGGGTTTACTCCCTCATTGTTTTCAACCACTTGTCTGCTTCTCTCAAGAACCGCTGGGCTTTGGGTTTTTGAGAGCAGAGTCCCAGGGATTGGAAGAGACCAACTCGCGGGAGGCTTCTACAAAGAGTACCCTTTGCACGCCGCGGTGCGATGCCTTGATGCCGAGCTGGCCGGGAGTCCGGGTGTTTGAGAGCGTCGTTGGGTGAATTGCCCACTTGGGCCTTGGTGCTGTTCGCTTCTCAGAGGCGGTTTCCCTTGAAAGTCAAGTGCACAAGTGTTTTCAATCGGAAGCAAACCAGTACAGGCAGTAAAACTGTTCCGGTGTTCCCGGTTGCTTGATGCCCAGTCATGTCCAAGTAGCCGAGCCGGGCACGCCATGCATAGCTTGCAGCTTGCCGCCTTGTTTTTGTTGAGTGTGACCCCTTGCTCTCTCGGTTTCCATCGGTCCCTTCACATTAGCTCGAGGTACTTTTGAAGCGAGCTGTAGATTGGGGGTCAAAGCTGATGGCTGTACCGCGTCCCTTTTACTCAAATGGCTGAGTTCCGTGAGTTTGCAATGCCTGATAATATATATATATATACATATGTACGTTTTTTTTTTCCCCCAAGATAGATATGATCTCTAGTTAGATCCCTTGCCATTTATATTCCTCTATGGAGTTGCTTTGCCACATGCATTGCAGGTCAAGATGCTGCTGAGAAACGGGGCAGATCCCTCCGTGCCGCTCTGCCACAGCTTGTCGGACCTCGAGCAGCCGGGGAGTTCTGGGAGCTTACCTCAAGACAAGCGAGGACCTCGAGCCTCAAACGAACCTCAAACGGGAATTCGCCCCATTGGCAATATGGGTCGGTACCCCCAAAATGGGTTATTGGCAATATGGTGGGTCAAACATAGTTGGGAATTTCCCAAAACGGGTTGCCCTGAAAAGTAGACACAAGGACGTTTGGTGGTCGAATTTTGACCCATACACGTATGCTTTGGGGATCCAAATGCACTTTTAGGGGCTTTTCCTCATACATCTCTCCCATGCCTCACGAAGAGCCGAGCCTTGGCCTGTCGAATGACTCAACTACGTCCAGAATAGATACCTGGGTGTGTCTAAGCACAGGTCGACTCAGATGCCACACAGGGGATCCCGGCAGTCCTTGAGGTGAGTGAGAAAACGCAAGTGGGATGTCTCCATGTATATTGGGCCCCGTGGGATGTCTTTGACAGCCAGCATGCAAGTCAGGACAAAGCAGCCCTTGCTTGCGAGACGCATGTTTGTGGGCAAATTGTTTTGTGGCGAATTTCCTGTGAACCGATGCACTTCCCTTGAGGAAAGGTTTGTGCACGGGAATCCCACTTTGGCATCGCAGGGGGCTTTTTGCCACAGTGCTGCGGCATGCCCAGTGGATGAGATGGGCTTCTCTCTCGGCCAAGTCTTGCCACTGAGTACCAGTGGCAAGCCTTTCGCACCAAAAGGTCCATGTTTTGCCCCGACTGGCGACAAGCATGGGGTCCTCAGATGTTTGGTGGGCAAAGGAGTTTTTGCACCGGTATCAAACGGCAACCTTCTGTGCACGCCCCTGAGCTTCCCGCACTCCAAGCAAGGTCCAAGCAAAGTCCCATGCGCCTGGCATTTTGCCCATGTCCAAGAGTGTGCTTGTGCCAGGATCCATGGTGTTGGGGATTAATGTCTGGCCAAAGGGCAGATTCCTCGTGGAGATGTACATCAATCACAAGCTCAAACAAAGCAGTCGTCAAAGCAAAGCGATCCTTGGCGTGCTTGTGGCTCATGTTTGGAGCATTTGCACAGTTTGCCTTCCTTTTGCATGGAACCCGCCAGAAGGCTTCAAGACAATCCTGGAGTCTGATCCAATATTATGTTGTATTTTAAAGTTGACTCAATAGGGAGACAGAATCCGAAGAGTTGTTTTTGGCGTACCACAGATTTTGGGCCAAGAACTCCTCACTGCAAAGCCTTCTTGCTTCATTTTGTGGATGGGCCTGCGCTTTTACTGCGGGTCTTACCGCGTTTTCGCGGTACATGGCGCCTTTTCGCGTCGACCCGCCAGGCGCGATGGATCCAGAATGACCCCTTGGCAGCGTGCTTGGAGCCGGCGCCCCAAGCCTCCCGACGCCTTCAGCGACTTTCGACTTGCAGCTGGGGTTGAGCCCAGGGTCAAACTAAAAATAAAGCAGGCATGAGCAAGACATGGGTCTGAGAGGAAACTTTGAGAAACCCCTGGACTCAGGTCTTCTTTTTGAGGAAACCCTGAGGTCGGCGTTGGTGAAAAAATGGGCACAGGACTGCCAGTTCCGGAGAAGGTTGCAGCCACACGCAGCATGAGCTCCTGAAAAAAACGCCTGCAAGGAATCACCCAGTGATTCGATTTATCTTAGGCAACCAAGAAAACTTCCCTTGAAGAAGAAATAAGGGAGTTTGTTGGTTCCCTACTTTAGAGGCAAAGGCTGGTTGCTAGCAAGCTATCGCAAATTTCACAGATTCCCAGTGAACATCTTGATCCGCCTTTTGGTTCGTTTCGGCTTTGCATCTGAGAAATTGTGTTCACTTGAGCCGATCTTAGGAGCTTCTCATAAGAAGCAGAGCGAATCGATTTTTGAACCGTGGGTGTCTTTTTTCCCCATTGCCCAGGCTTAAGTCGATTCAGACCCAAGCGGTTAGCGCAGCTTTTTGCAGGTCTGGGCAGGTGATACTGGCGGCCTTCATCAAAAACATTTGGCGCCCTCAGCGTAAAAGGAAGCAACGCGCAGAACCGTAAGACCTTCGGGTTGTGAGGCGTTTTTTGTTTCGGCTGCAGGGCGTTTTTAGGGAGCGTGTGTTTGAGGGTTCCCGTTTCAGGTTGGTTGAAAGGGAAACCAAGACCACCGCATTTCATAGGTCCTGTATTTTGACCCATCCCCCGGTCCTTGTCATGGTAAAGGCTTCTTCAGCGCAACCTTTTGAGATCAAGAGATGTTTTTTTTTTTTTTCTTTTGTTTTTCTCCGCGCAGGTCAGTTTGTTACTGGGGTGTGTTTTTCCAGGTACTTGTTTGTTGGTTTTAAGCGAAAAGAACAAAAAGGAAGGTTCACACCCATTTGTTGATATAAAGGGTATGTACACCAACCACCCGGTTGAAAACCACAGGGATTTCTCGTGAGAATTTCCCGCAAGGAGCATGTCAACACACACACACACACACACCTCCAAGCATCCAATCAGAACTGGGCTGCCCTCAGATCCCCCGCTAAAAAAATAACTTTTAGTGAGTTAAATGGAAACTACCACTAAATACTAAAAGGCCAAAAAACTATATCGGATGGCTGGGAGCCACCAAGAGAAATGTTTCGAGTCTGTTCAAGGAGTCCCCATGGCCCCAACTTTTGTACGACCATATCCCAACACACTCCTGGATAGCCCTCGATTTGGAGTCTCCTGTCCGCGCTTGAGTGTCCAGCAGTCTCTCGAGATCAAGGCAACCAACCGCCTTGCAGAAAACCTGGCGATCTTACCTCACCTTGTCGCCTCTACAAGTCCCTTGTACCCAAAGTCTAGTGGATGCCATGTTTTGGAACACCGCTTGGTGGGATGCTATTTCTTGGGCAGTCTTTTGGAAAGGAGTACTCCAAAGCACCTAAGGCACCCATGATGTTCCATGCCTAGGCACAGTCACTTCGGCATAAGTCACAGATCTGGCCAACTCCGAATTCAAGAGAAGACTTGTTTGCAGTCCCTCTAAGTTTCCTTGGGTCTTGCCAGTACCAAGCAAGTTTCCTTTGGGGTGAGGTTTTCAGGTTGGTTAACTCTCCCAAGTAGCTTGGGATATACCCATTCTTCTCCGGTGGCTGGGTGTATAGGGTCCGCATGAGTCAAGCCCTCTTTGCGGCCAAGCCCAGAATAGCTGCACAAGGCAGAACAAGTTAAAAGCCCTGGATAACTTGCGAGGAATGGAGCAAATGACCCGATTTTTGAGTCCTCAGATCCGAAGAAGTTACCAGGGACTCTCTGCGTGCGTAGTTCGAATCTCCTTGTTTCCTGGTTCTTGCCACCAAACATGTTTTTTTCCCGGTGAAAAAGAAAGGGACTATGGCCCTATGTTTGATTTGTGTCAGACTCCTTTTGTACCCCCTTACAGTCTAACCTGGAGCCCCAAAACCCGCCAGTGTTAGAGGAGTCTCCGGAGAAATGGACCCCTTTTGTAAGGGTATCTTCCCCATTCTTTCCAGGGATCCTTCTTGAAAACCTCCGGAAACCCAGGGAAAACGGCCGGTTTTTGGAAAGAGCGATGGTGGAAAAGAATGGACTCGGAATCAACCCCTAGACTTGTGGATTCCCCCCCCGACTGTGGAGAGTTCAACGCTCTCAGGCCAAGCGAAGAAGGGCAGCGAAGGCGCCTGTGACGTCCTGGCCGCGGGGATCCCAAGACTCGAGGCGACTGGGCGACTGGGTGACCCAAGCGGACGAGTACTGAGCTGGGAAACCCTTTTGGAAACCGAAGCCCAGGTACAAGTTCGTGTTCGTTGGAACATGTTCTGTCCGCATGTGTATAAGGAGTTTAGCGGCACATGACATGACATATTGATTTTGAACTCATAGATCAGTTCTGGACTAAAGAGTCACTTTGGGAAGCACCGCCCGACACTTGAAGATGAGAGGGCTTTTTTTCAGCCAATCACACCCTGGGATTTCCAATAGTTCCAGCTTCCTTAAACGCCTCCGGGTTGGGGACCACATCGCAACATCCAACGTTCGTTGTGTATCAGGATGGTTGCACTTGGTTCTGTGCCGATGATGACGTTGGAAGCGTGGCATTCCGATTCTCCCCTCCAGCAGCCCTCCACAGCTACTGTTGAGACGGCACTCGGGATTGTTGGAGGGTGCGTGTTTGCGGTGCTTAGTTTGAAACCAGAAGCCAGCTGTTCAAAGGCCAAGTCTCCGAAACAAATGTGTGGTCAGGTGCCACAAATCTCAGCAACTCAATCCACATAACATATGAATGTTTCTCAACATGGGGTGCCCTGAAATGTTTGTTTTCTTTGTGGCTTCCCCTTTGTTGCCATCAAATACCAGCCAAAGGTCCGCCATTTTGAGAAACTCCCATCCTTGTTGAATCGTGTAATGGCACAGGCGTTTTCAAGCTTTTCTAGATGGTTTGGCTTCGCTTGGTATGGCAGGCGTCTCAAGGCGTTTGCCTGACAGACAGGGAAGCTGAAACATGCGTTTTGTTCGTCCAACTGCTCGAGCGCGACTGTGCATGTTCGGCCACCAGAAATCGATGGTCTCTGGCGGGGGGGCTCACGGAACGCCCAAAGTCTAGAAAATGAGCCCGAATTTCCAATGTCCTCTTAAGGGGAACAAACCATTGGTTTCATGGGGGTTATAGTAAGGCCTACATAAACCTTTATCATCTTTGTAGATCATGGATGAAGCTGGCGCTTGGCATCTTGAACAGGTTTGCAGTTCCTACATTTCCCTTGAACAAGTTTTACACACATTTTTGTTTGTCAATGATTCGGTTGCATAGGTCAAACTCGATGCAAGCTGCAGATCACGCACACGCGAATCTGGTCGGTGCGTCGAGGTTGGCGATATGGATCCCATTGCCCAAACCTCGTGACCTTTGTCTTCCCATGCCAACAGCAAGTCTTGGTCTGGATCGAAAGGCGAAGCTTTGAGCAACGCTCCAATTGCTCGCTGGTGACAACATCACTCACGGACAATCTAATTGGAAGTCTCTGTTGTTTTGGGAAGGATGAGAAGGGGGCACGAGCCTCAAGTTTGCCACGTCCTCTTGGGGAAACGAGTAACTTTAAGTATACTTGGCTCAGGGCCACTGTTTGCTAAACATGAATAGCAGGGTCTTATGTGGTCTTACTGTTGAGTGTACCCTTTGCAGGTTGCTTTGCATGGAAGCCACAAGTAATTTGGGGGGGGGGGTGCAGATCTCTATTTTGACAGACTACCCCCCCCCCCACCCCCTTTAAAGCTCAAGCGCCGAACCCAAAGCTCCTCGTTGAAAACCGCAGACTCGAGCCACTCCTTGAAGCAACCCCTCTCTTCAGGTTGCTCCTCCCCTCCCATGAGGCCAAACATATTTGTTGGCAGCAGCACCTAGTTCCCCCAGCTAGGTGCCAACTTTTGCCCGTTTCTTTTTTGGTGGGGAGAGTTCCCTTCTAAAACAAACTGCAGAAAAAAGTTGGTACCCGAATTCCAACCTCCAAAACTGGAGGACCTATGGACGTATCAGCCCATCCGCTGAGGTCCTGGAAGCACACGAGGCGCGGAGGAACCGCCGCAAGGCGGGGATGCCAAGATCTGGCGCTCGCCGTTTTTGCCTCTTTTTGTTTGGTGTTGTTTGTGTGTTTTTTCCCGGCTAGATGTGTTGTTTTGTGGCTTTTTTCCCCCTGTGTGTGTGTGTGTTTTATTTTTAATGCTTTTCCCCCCGGAGGATTTGCGCCCATGATTAATGCTTTCCAATGTGAGTGAAATTCGGCGGGTTCCTGTAAGTGATTGAAATTCGGTGGGGTCCTAAGTGAGTGGTTTGCCTTTACAATTAACTACCCAAAAGAGGAGAGTGCCCTTTGTTGTTCCCATGGCCACGTCTAGGGTATTCCCGTCGGGTTGCTTCCGCGTTTCCCTTTTTGCGGGAGTCGGGGCCCCATGTAAAATCAACTTTGCAAGCTCTTCCTGGTTGAATCCACTACCAATCTGTTGAGGGTGCTCTTTACTTTGCATGGCCCCTGAGGGTGCAGGTTTATGGGTAAAGCGAGCTCAGGAGCTATGCCCTCCTGGGAATCCGAGCCTCATGTCAGCCACAAGGGTAGCAAGGGTGGCCTGGAAGCAGTGGGTTTCTGTAAACCCTAAACCCTAAACCCTAAACCCTAAACCCTAAACCCTAAACCCTAAACCCTAAACCCTAAACCCTAAACCCAAGCTGTGTTGGGGGGACTTCTTGTTGGTTCCACTTGAAGCCTTCTTTGGGACCTCGTTGTTTGGGACTTCAGTTTGGGTTTGTGCCTGCTGGTTCTCACATATCCGGAACGAGTTGAATTGCCCCAAACTACCATCCAACTTGTGATTGCATGTTGGCCCCAAACGAACATTGCTCGGTTCGTTTGTTTCCACAAAGTCTCTTGATTTATAGAGAAAGCAGCGGGTTGCTCCGAACTTCAAAGCAAAAAACGGGTGCTCCATGTTGCCCTTTTCCCCAACCCCCCCCCCCCTCCCCCCTTCCCCCCTTCCCCCCTTCCCCTCTCTTGTGAAATCGGGTCTTTGGAGCCCAGCACAAGTTCACGGGGTCAGGTGGTCAAACCAAAGAACCGCTCAGGAAGCGGAATCTCCGTCAGGTTTCCCGAGGCATCAACCGAAACTCGCTCGGATGGACCACGGAAAACCCTATTTCCCTGGTGTTTTCGATTTTCTTGCCTGGTGCTTTGGTCAAGCGCGGCGGGGGTCAGAGTGTTCGAGCTGGTTGTGGGGTGAACTTAAAGAGCTTCAGACCTAAACCATGTGGCACCATAAACCCAAATTCAATCACACCCTAACACACACCCCTAAAGCCCACGCGCAAAAACCCTCCCGAAACGCAGGCTGAACCCCTCTCAACCTTGTCCAATCCGGAACCCACCCTAAAGATCAATTCTAAAGCACCCAAAATCACCCAACGCCCGCCCCCCAAAACCCGCCAAAGGCATCCCCCACCGCCCAAGCCCTCAAACCTTTGCACAGGTCGTGACCGCCTAGACCCTGGGGCAAAACCTCCAGGCACGTGGCGCGTGGATGCGCGATTCCCGTGTTCCCAGAGGGCGCGTGAACGTTTTTTCGAGTCAAACGGTTGGAGTTGAATTTAAAGCGAAGCCTTAGTTTTCAGCTTCTCTCTAATTGGTGTGGATTGGTGGTTTGGATTGGTGTCCCATTTTCCCTCTGCAAGATTCAAGAGTTCAATTCCCCAAACCACCAATCCAAGCCCTTAGTTTGGCACAAGAGGGTTTCTCGGTAGCTTGGGATGGATGTCCTGAACGGGGGTTCAAAAGGTACCTCACCAGGCAAGTGACCCGTGGATGTTTGTTTGAAGCAAACAAAGGCGTCGGAGATGTCAACGCCTAGTTTCTAGCTGACCCAGACGATTGTTGGGAAATACGAGATGTTCCAAGGTGCTTTCTTTTGGAACATATTTGCTCACACGTATCTGCCTTTGATCAGTGGAAATGCACGAAATGCTGTTCCCATGCTTATTGCTGACTGACCTCTTGTTTTCAGGTGCCAACTCTCCGCACATGGCAGCGAGCAATCGAGCAAGCAGACTCCGAAGTATCAGCATGTTGTGGCGTTTAACACTTGTGTTATGAATATGATCTTCGAGCGATGACCTTGGGGTCGCAGCTAGGTGTTTTGGAAACCGAACGGTTGGAACAAACCTCGACGAATGTGCAGCCGTCGAAATTGGTTTTGAAAGCGGACAAGGCTTGAACCTTGCGAGCCGCTTGCCAATTTGGCGAAAAGGATCTTTTTGAACTCATTTGAGATCCTTGCGTCACTGTCCCTGCCATGGAACTCTGTCAGGACTGCGACCGTCTTGTTCGGGACGCCTTCTGTCATATCGAGACGACCGAGTTGGAACCCCATCTGCTTCGGCACCGCCTGTGAGCGTGGCCAACTCGCCCCGGCACCCCACGACATTCATGTCGCGCACACCAAAAATCGCCTCGACACACTCGAACCAGTCATGCAGGCAAGCGCGACTTCGTAAGCGCCGGACGCGCTGCAATGTCCGCTCTCTACCAAGCAGTGCGCAAACACACAATGTACTGACAAGCTGAAGTAACCGGCCATGGCGGCCTTGCGAACAACGCAAACCAAGCGCTGCGCGGCAGACAGTGCCCCTCTGGAGCCTGCCCATCGTGTACATAAGACTCCTGTCACAGATAGGGCGAGCAGACACGGCGGGGAAAATACATATTGATCCAGACACCGGTCGAGCCACCAGACTGGCTGTGCAGCCACGTTGTTTTCACGCGGCATGATGCCGACGGTCTTCCGGCTGCTGGAACAGTTTGCCACGGGCAGCCATCATTGCGCCGTTCGTTTGTCGACTATGGCTCCACACCTCATACCTTGAACTTTGCGACAATGAGGAACAGCCGGAATTGCCCATTCAGAAACCGTCATCAGACGGAGGCCCACGCATGCCGCTTGCCGTTTTGGCGAAAAAGGGTTCCCACCCCCTCCCAATTTCCTGATCATAGCCCACCCCAAGCCTGGGAGTTAGGCGTTTCATCGGGCTGCGTGTTCGGCCCGGGGTGGGGGAGGCAGTATGTCCACACCCCAATCAGAGACGTTTTGCTTAGCAACATGTCTTTTGCATTTTCGAGGTTCGCCTTTTCGATCTTGGGTCGAGCAGCTTGAAGCCGAAGCTGACCCAACACCTGCAACGGCAGGCTCTTCCCCAGTGGAAAAAGCGGGAATGTGTGTTGCACGCTGCTGGTTGCAATCCTGCTCAGTCAGAGCGGCTTGTTGTTGCCTTCGAATGTCAGCCCAGTGGCTCATCACATTTGGAAAGGAATCACTCATTCATGTGAGGGCAGCATTTCAATGCCAGGCGAGAGCTGCAATGCAGCGGGCATGGCGGAAGCGTGCCTTGGTGTTCCACCAAAGAACCGGTTGAGTTTCCTGACATCTGTTGATTTCTCCCGAGCTCTCGAAGCCTGTAGAGGTTTCAACTTAAAACTCGAAAAAATGTTTCAACCAAACAGCCCGTGTTTTCGCGCAGTTGTGGAGCCCATTGCTTGAAGAACCTGTTGATTCTCAGTTCACTCGCCCTACGATGAATATGGTTGTTCCCAGGCAAATGCGGGGGCCTAAATTGCGTTCTGCGCCACGTTTTCGTCCACCACGCCTGGTTGTTTGAGGGCAACCGCGCAGGAGCATTTTTTCGACTGCTGAATTTTTGCTCCGATTCTCAGACCTTCGGTTCGCCAGATGAACGGGACCGAGTGACCTGCCCATAACCTGAGGTCTGCCGTGTTGCTTGGCTGCGCTTCAGTTTTCGGAGAGCGACATGACTGGTCCCAACTAGTTGGAAGGGTTGCTTCCTGGCTTTGCGATGGCCCAACCATAGGCCACGCACACAGGCACAATATATATATATATATATAATATATATATATATATATGTATTATTCAAGATTGACAGACATACATATACATATATATATATATATTGGGCTGTTTCTGAGTGTATATAATACTGTGGACAGCCTTGTAGAACTGCATAGCCCAGCTGGACCCACTGATTTTGGGCATGTCCGCTCATGTCAGGATCTGAAATAATTCCAGGAGGTTGTTCCATTAAAAGCGCCACTCATCAGAGATCCGATGGATATTTGTTGTCCCAGGTTAGTTGCAAGTACCAAATAGTTTTGCTGCCACATGCAATTTGCTCTTTCTCTGATTCCACGTGACATAGGCAGAACAGCCCCTGTGGTGGCCATCTTCACGTGGGGATTTCTGTCCACTCGCAAGCCAGCTGAGCCAGCTCTTCCTTGAACCTTCCGCTTGGGGTGGCTTTATATTTTGTCCGAAGCTGACGAATTTTCCCTGGCGCCCAAATACTTTCTAAGCCGGAATATTGCCCCAACACTTTGAGGCGATGTCCCCTTTTTTCAGGGTACTTTGACTAGGTTTCCCAGGATCGTGCCCTTTTACCATTTCTTTTTTGGTTGGGAGGGTTCCCCTACTAGACTACAGAAAAAAGTTGGCACCAACTTATTCTAACCCCTCTACTGGAGGACCTAGTTGAGGCTCCAGGGCTCGCCCACCTTTTGGCTTTCCTGGAATTAGTTCCCCTTTTTGATTTTTTGCTTTTTTGGGTCCCCATTGTTTTCCACTAACCAGGCAAAACATGTTGTTTTTTGCTGGGGTCCTAATTCCAGTCAAGTTTTGAGGCGTGACTTTGGTCCTCAGGAGGACGCCTCCTCACCGGCGGGCCGCGTCTTCCAAAATTCTTCGCTTACAATTCGCGGGAGGGCCGGCAGCGCTGAAGTCTTTCGCAAAAAGCTGTGCCTGCAGCCCCCAAAGGTTGTTGCGACAAAAACAACTGCGAGAAAAGCCTGAACATGGTTGTTGTTGGGAAACAGGTTTCACATTTTTGTTGAACTCTGAACTGCTGAAATTGAAGATTTTGCTTCCCTTCCAACGTCAACCAAGCGAAGAGGGGACAAGCTCCAAGTTTTAGTTCAGCTTGGATGTGTGGTAGAATTTGCAGATAGCGGCTGCTTGTGCTTGTTCACGGTCAATAGTTTCACATGTTTTGTTCTTCTCAGCTGGATGCGTGTTTAGTCATCCCAACACATTTAACATGGGCAAGTGAGTGACATCCAGGGCCCACGCAATGGTTCCAGCGCGTGCTCACTTGGGGCTTTTTCGGTATATCCATCTGTAGGTTTCGTCGTGCTTGTTACGTTTTCCGTGGAGCGGAACCGGATCGTGAGCGGAGCCGGACAGTGGGGGTTGCGACAGCCAATCTCAAGACCAGCGCTTGCATGAGCACGGCCCCCACCTCTTGTCAAGACCTGTGCTCTGCCCAGGCCAGGGATCAAAACCCAAATCGTACCCCCAGTGAACATCAACCAATGCCCGGCAAAATAGGTTCTAAAAGTGGGTGGTGAATTCACCTACCCCAAAATGGGATCCCATTGGTTTTGAACCATGGCCAACTCACATGGGAGGAAGCTGACGGCTTCGGGGGTTGCGCCGTCGAAAAACGGAGCAGTGGCAGAGCACGGAATGCATGTGGTCACATGACCGATTTCTACCAGGAATCACATGCTGACCCTGAGAATCCACCCCTGTTCTCTGTGCAGGTTTGCTGAATCGGGCGCTATTTTGGGGGTATAACCAAAACCTGGTCAGAGAGCACAGTTTGTCGAATCAAGTTTTTGTCGGATACCCCAAACCTGTGAAAAGGTCATGGTGTTTGGGGGGCGGGGATCGTCGGAAAACTTTGTCGGAGAATATACCCCCAAAAAAGCACCGGTTTGTCGCACATGGTTTTAGTGCTTTGTCGGGAACCTGTGTGGAGATCAAGGTTTCGATCCTCAGGGTGATGTCATTCTCCCGCGAATTTTCCCGGCCTTTGCTGGCAGAACTTCGACTCGGGATATGGCCGCGGGGTCGTGGACCCACAGGATGGATTGAAGGGCACATTTCCGGCCTGATCGTCGTATTCGCCTTTCGATCCGGCGCTCCGGGGCCTTTTCCGGCACCATCTCCCGGGTTAAAGTCTTGTTTGTTAGTTCCGTGATCCTGATGGAAGATGGGAGCCATGTGTCCTGTTATGTTTGGGGTTGTTCTTCCCTATGACCAAAACGCGCTCACATGCCAACAGAATGGAGGCTTTGGGTTCGCGCCTAGGCTGTCCTTTCTCATGAAAGGAATCGGAAGCACATCCAGCCATCCTGTACTTGTTTATTCCCGTGGGACGGTTTGCCTTGGCAATAACCAACAAACAGAGTATGACTTTTGATCGGACCTTGAATGCCAAACAACAAGCAACACGAGCAACACGTTGGGGCGGCGATACACACCAAGAAAGAGCGTCCTTTTAGTTTCAGGTCCACTTCAATTCAGTCGGAGAGATACGTGTTGCCGCTTTGTACGAGTTGCTTCGTGTGGGCCTGGAGTCTGGAGGGGTGTCTTGCCGGGCCGCATTCCATGTGTGTTAGCCATTGATTCAGAGATTTGGG